AAGTGTACAAAATGGTTACTAGAGAAACATTTAGAAACATAAAGGTTTTATTACGGAGCGATAAAGGAATAGCAAATTTCTCTGACCGATCGCTCTTAAAAAATTTAGGTCATTGGTTAGGAATGTTAACTCTTGGCAGAAATAAGCCTATTTTACAAATTGATATAGATCTAAAAAGTTTACTTGTCGAAGCATATCACAAAGGCCAACAAGAACTTCTTTATGTGGTTCCCTTTGTTGCTAAAGTACTTGAAAGTTGTGCAAAGAGTCGTGTTTTTCGACCACCTAATCCTTGGACGATGGCAATTATGAATGTATTGGCGGAATTACACCAGGAACCAGATTTAAAATTGAATTTAAAATTTGAAATCGAAGTGCTGTGCAAAAATTTAAGTATTGATGTTGGTGAATTGAAACCAGCGGTTTATTTAAAAGATCCAGAAAAACTGCGAAACTTAGAATATCAGTTATCACATCCTAATAAAAAATCTGAATCAAATAACAATCAACAACAAACTCAAGGCCCTATTGAAGAATTGGTTGGTCCTACTACAACAACTATTGTTCCACAGACAGCACCAGCAAATACAACTCCGTCGTTACCTACTGGTCCACCAGAGCCACGTTTCAATTATATGGATATATCTGTAACAGGCATTGCTAATATTTCTCAGCATATTACTATTAATAACAACTTGCCATTGTTCCAAACACATCCACATTTGAAGCAGTTTGTTCGCCCAGCTGTTGAAAGAGCAATTCAGGAATGGATTCATCCTGTAGTTGATCGATCAATCAAAATAGCTTTAACGACTAGTGAACAAATTGTGAGGAAAGATTTTGCATTAGATCCAGAAGAAGTTCGAATGAGAACTGCGGCAAGACACATGGTTCGTAATTTAACTGCTGGAATGGCTATGATTACTTGTCGCGATCAAGTTTTGGCGTCAATTGGTACAAATTTAAAACAAGCTTTTCTAACTGCAATGATGGGTACAACTCCACAACAAAAAGAATTGGCAGAGCAAGCAGCTAATGTAGTAGCTGCCGACAATATGGAACTTGCTTGTGCATTTGTACAAAAAACAGCTATTGAAAAAGCTATTCCCGAAATGGATAAACGTCTGTTAAATGAAATCGAATTACGGAAAATAGCACGACAGGAAGGAAGGAGATATTGTGATCCATTAGCTAAATATCAAGCTGAGAGAATGCCTGAACAAATAAGGTTGAAAGTAGGCGGCGTGACACCTCAACAAATGGCTGTTTATGAAGAATTTGCAAGAAATATTCCAGGATTTTTACCACTCTCTGAACGCGACACACAAGCACTATTAATGCCAAAACCTGTTACAGTATGTACTTTATATTACAGAGTCTTAATTCTTACATAATGTTACCTACTATATTTACAATACTTTAATTTTTAAGGACCCTGCTGTAACTGCATTTGCTGCCAATCCAGCAGTTGCAGTAGCGACAGCACAACAAGTCGCTGCTTATGCAGCAGCAGTGAGTAACGATGAAGTTGGAGCCATGTTAGAAAAACTAGCAGCTGAAGTTGAAGTGTTACTTGCTGCAATGGGCCCAGCTGCGCCTCCTCCACAGCATGCTGCCCTACATAGTCTTTTAGAATCTATTATCCTAACACGAAGATCGAGAGATGCAGGCGCTGCTATGACGTTACTTAAAAAGGTCAATTTATTAGAAGATGTATTATTTAAGTGTTTTCTTATGCAAACTGAACGAATAATCTACATATCCTTAATTTCAGGCTGTAGAAGGGTTACTAGATGGCCCTACCATTTCCAGTGGTGTAATAGACTCAGAAATTATATTGCGCTATAGAGAACTTCATTTACGCATTCTGAAGTGTCTTCAAGATCCACGTGCTTATGGCATGCAGTGGACAAATAAACACGTTACACGATGTTTAACAGAATGTAGAGAAGAGTTTCGATACAACTTTGAAGCTGTCGATTATCTTATTAGGTATTCTATTCTTTATAGTACATTGTTAAATAATTAAATTTGCTTAAATGATCAAATGAAAATATCTAATTAATAATATTTTAGGTCCCATTTAATTAGTCTTCCACAGTATGATTTAGCTTTAGCTCAAGCTATAGACTCTGGAAACGCTATGGCAACAGCATTTGCCATGCAGCTGGTGCAACTTTATTTAATTGATGAAAGACAAACAACGCATGTTACTGAATCGGACCTATTTCACACGATTGAAATTCTTGCGAGAATGGCTCATCACAGAGCACCACCTGAAGGGTTATTATCTATAATATAATAGTTATTACTGTGAATAAAGTAGTTAATTTAGAATTAATTAAAATGAAATTAATATATTTTTTCAGGATTTTACTATTTAGACTAACAAGTTTGATAGAATCGTTGCGCGCTAATCATGACCCAGGGGTATTAGCAGACAGAGCCCCTGCTGGTCCTACAGCACACATTCATTCTGGAATTCTACAGGTGAGAGTAAGTAAATTCTGCCGACCTTAAGGCGTCGAGAACACACGTTTGTATTTACAATTTATGTTGTTTGTTTTTTACAGGCGCGTGACTTCGATGACCCACCTGGATTGATGGAAAAAACCGAATACTTATTACGTGAATGGGTTTCAATGCATCATAGCCCAACACACGCTCGTGATCCTACGAAAGCTTTCGGAATGTTTGTTCACCAAATGAACATTCATGGAATCCTTAAAACTGATGATCTCATAACAAGATTTTTTAAACTCAGCACTCAGATGTGTGTTGACCTGTGTTATCGTGCTTTAGCTGAAACAAATGCTGCACCATCTGTTGTTCGTGCGAAGTGTTTCCATTCGTTAGATGCTTTCGTGCGTTTGGTCGCACTTTTGGTAAAACATTCTGGTGACAGTACAAATACTCATACAAAGATCAACTTACTGAATAAGGTTTTGGGAATCGTTGCCGGCGTATTACTGCAGGATCATGAAATACGAGGAACCGATTTTCAACAGTTGCCCTATCACAGGATTTTCATTATGCTCTTCCTAGAGCTTTGTGCCCCCGAACCTGTATTGGAGGCAGTAAATTATCAAGTATTAACTGCTTTCTGCCATACTCTACATATACTTAGACCAGCCAAAGCTTCGGGATTTTGTTATGCTTGGCTAGAATTAGTTTCACACAGAGTTTTTATTGGGCGCATGCTTGCGATTACACCGCAACAAAAATGTTGGGGCATGTATGCGCAACTTTTAATTGATTTATTCAAATATCTTGCACCATACCTTCGAAATGCTGAACTTGCAAAGCCTGTTACTTTATTATACAAAGGAACTCTTAGAGTATTATTGGTCTTATTACATGACTTTCCTGAATTTCTTTGTGATTACCATTATGGATTTTGTGACGTAATTCCACCTAATTGCATACAGATGAAAAATCTTATTTTAAGCGCATACCCAAGAAATATGCGTTTGCCTGATCCATTTACACCGAATCTAAAAGTAGATATGTTACAAGAGATAGCTCATGCCCCTCGAGTGTTGACCAATTTTGCGTCCATGATACAACCATTAAGTTTCAAAAAAGAACTTGATTCGTATCTAAAAGCGCGCGCACCAGTTACCTTTCTTTCTGAATTGCGCAGTAATTTACAAGTATCTCAAGAAGCTGGTGTTCGCTACAATATTCAATTAATGAATGCTCTAGTACTTTATGTTGGGACACAAGCCATAGCTTTTATTCGTAGTAAAGGACATACTCCTAACATGTCTACTATCGCACATTCTGCACACATGGACATATTCCAAAACTTGGCAGTCGATCTTGATACAGAAGGTCGTTATTTATTCGTAAATGCAATTGCAAATCAGCTACGGTATCCTAATAGCCATACGCATTACTTCAGTTGCACACTTCTGTACTTGTTTGCTGAAGCTAATACAGAAGCGATACAGGAACAAATTACGAGAGTCCTTCTGGAGAGACTTATTGTAAATAGACCACATCCGTGGGGTCTTCTCATTACCTTCGTTGAACTTATCAAAAATCCAACGTATAAATTTTGGACGCACGAGTTTGTTCACTGTGCACCAGAAATTGAAAAGTAAGTTATTATAACTTATTCATTTGATTATACCATTCCTTAATACATTATTTATATTTTAATTGGTATTGTTTCAGATTATTCGAGTCGATAGCTCGATCGTGTATGGTTCAAAAACAAGTACAGCCAACTCCGGAACCGGAGATCCCAGAGTGATAGGACGCTTTATTTTTCATTGTCGATTTGTGTACAGTAAAACAAAAAGAACATAAGTAATAAGAGTCGCGTGTAAAAAGTTGTTAATGTACGAATAGATGTACTATACTTTGGGCTTAACTTTTGGTGGATAGATATTGAATAACCGTATATTAAGTGTATCAATTGAGCTAGAATAAGCGAGACCACTATTATGTTAATATTTTAATAAAAATATTGTTGCATCGATCAGAAAGCAACGAACATTCAACCTCACAAAACGTGTCTTTCGAACAGTGTACTTGAAACAGTGTGTTACCATGACATTGTAATATTATAGCACAAATGTCAGTATAATGCGTATCATAATGAAGAAGAGGAAGTCAAGACAACAAGGGTGTTCAAGAAGTAATAGTGAATTTTTGTAGGTTAAAATGATATAAGTGTACTCTGAATAAGTGGTATATTGAGTCAGTACCAAAATTATTATGTTGTGCTATGTAAGTCATTTAGGGAGTACTTGCAGAATGTATGGTGCATTTGGAAATCTGTAATATAGTACATAATTACCAGTATACATTGATGTAATTTTTTAAGAATTGTAGCTATGAAAAAAGATAAAGCTGATTAATTAAAACGTGGTTTAGTAATCCTTTGTTTTAAATGTTAAGTAGTGATTTTATTATTGTCACTTACTAAATAATTTATTAAACTTTGTCTATATACATCATTTGTACATGATTCAAAATTTATATTATCAAAGTTAAACGACTTGTTGATCACGTGTTGCATGATAAGAATCCCTTTCCTTATCTGGGAATTTGGTTGGTAAATTTGGACTGTGTAAATGACATTTTGCATGGTACCTTATTCCTGCCACGTCTACTTCATAATCTCCTGATAGTATATATTCGTTTGTCACTTCTTGTGGGCGTCCTTGTGAGTCGAAGTTTTGTACAAATCCAAGGCAAACCTAAATTATAATTTACTAGTTACTTTTAGATTAGAAAATACTTCTATTTTGCAGTTTATTATTAAATACTTATTGATATATACATTTTATCAATTAATTAAAAACGTTAAATTTGTACCTGCTTTTTGAATGTAAATCCGTAACCTGTTGTAGTTGTCATTCCACAATATTTGCCATTTCTAAAAATAGGTTCACTACCCCAACACCATGTATCCAATTCAAGATCATGATCATTTAATAATAGCTGCACATATTTTCGTTTTACACCTTCTTCACGTTGTTTCAAAAGAGCATCCCTTCCAATAAAATTTACTGCTTTCTATTAAATATGTAGCTTTAAATATTGTATAAACTTGATTATAATATGTAAATTTTATAAATTATAAGGACACATACATCAAGTTTTACTCTCCAAGTTCGTCCACATTCTAACGGTGTAGTAAAAGTATCTAAATCTTGACCCCAAAACGCATAAAATTTTTCAACTCGTAAAGCTCGGGTTGCATAGTAACCAGCATGTTTTATTTTGTATTTAGCTCCAGCATCTACTAATCTCGTATAAACATGTAATGCAAACTATAAACACACAATGTGTATAAATATTAAATACAATGTACAAATCGCAATTTAAAAAAGAAACATTCGTTGTGCCATAAAGTTCGGGATACTTACTTCATTTGGAATATACAGAACATAGCCAAGTTCTCCAGTATGAGTTAAATTCATTGTGCGTATTCCATTAGCAAGACCAACATCTAATTCCTTTTAAGAAGATGAATGTATGATAAACACGCTAAAACTATATACAAGAATTAATAAATACCTTAAAAGTAAAAAATGGGAAGTTTTTGGGATTTAAATCAGTATCTGTTAATTCTGACAATAACTGTCTAGTGGCAGGGCCTATAATGCAAATTGCAGTATATGCTGATGTTACATCAGATACTGCTACAGAACCGTCTGTAGGTAAATGACGATTAATCCAATGTTTACAACGAGTTTGTTGTATAGTGGGGGCAATCATCATGTAACTTAAGCAATAAAAAAATAATTATATGATTATACTTTATATTTCATAATTTAAGCAACTTATTTATACAACTTACTGATTAACAGCAATACGTGCTAAACTGCAATCATTCTCGTAGCCTCCACGATGATTTTGCATACCTGTATGAATAATACTTCCTACTGGAACATCCACATCATTCGAACATAAATACTGTAATAAGTCTACTACTTCCATCCCGTTTGACTGCAATAACATAAATTAAAAAATTATTTAGTAGAATAATACTGATCATCAGATACTATCTATAATAATATATCATACCCATAAGTCAACTTTAGTAAAAGAAGAATAATCACTAAGTCCAATGGCTTCACGACATGCAGCATACTCTTTCCAAACTGGTTCAAACCACGGTGGTTTACTAAATGTATTTGTGTATGCTATCTTATATCTTTGAAATCCGTCAATCGTTTCCAAATCTGTGTAGCAAAGCAATCTGTATAATAAAATCCAGTTTTTTTACAATACAGATATGTCAATACATAACATTCTACAAGGAACTTTGTTCTAAAAAGTATTTCTAGATTACAATTTTTTATAAACCCAATAAACCTACCACTATCTTCATCTAACTGAAACCAGGATGGTCGCTCGTAACCCATTACCTGTCCAAATATAGCACCAGCTTCTCGAAGTTTTGGATAAATTGGAGACATCCTTAAATTTCTACCAGTTTTGAATTCATGATGTGGATATTGTAATGCATAATGCATACCAGGAACTTCTTTTACTCGATCACGTAAAAATTTACGATTGTTATGAAGTCCCAAAAAACGGGATACATCTAATTCATACATATCTAGAGATGTCGAACCATTAACTATTAATTCAGCAGTTGCTCGACCCACCTATGAAAATTAATATTTATAAATTCTATGAATGTTTATTAATTTGACATTACTTACCGTTTTCATACCAGCAGCTACATAATAATTACGTATTTCTGGTGCTTCACCAACTATCCATTTGCAATCTGGAGAAAATGCTTCAGGGCCATTACATAATTTTTCCAAAATTGCATTTCCTAAACTCGGAATTCTATAAAGCATTTGTTCAAGTAAAATATGAAAATGGTCCCAATCTTCTGGTAAAAATCTTTCTTCTGTACCTTCTAAATTTAAATTATTTTAAATTCAAATTTACATAAATCAATGATACACTAAAAATCTATACCCAACCAGGTATTGTTCCATCTTCAAATGCTGGCTTTGCAACTGGTTCAAAACCACCAGCTAACAAGCTTCCATTGTTCTCCCGAAAATAAATATATCCATCCAAATCTCTTATAACAGGAGTCATAGGATCTAAACCATCAATAGGTTTTGTATGTAAATAATAATGTTCTACAGGATGAAGAGGTACCTAAATAAAATAAGTGTAACTGAAATTATTTAGAAACCATGTTTCTTACATTATATTTGATAACAATAATCAAAAAAATTCAACCTTTACATGTGGTTCGCTCAATTTGCCTACATTACGTGCCCAAAATCCAGCACAATTAACAAAATGTTCACATTCAACAGCACCACGTGTTGTTTCTACAGCTTCAATTCTACCATTTTGTGTAATGATTTTAGTAACTTTGCATTTTTCAAATACTTTAACTCCTAAAAATATTATGAACTCAATATGTTTTGTAATTATAATATTAAAATGAAATATTATTGTCCTCTTTTAATTCCACAAGGAATTAAAAATACCTTTCTTTTTTGCCTCCTCTATTAATGTTAAACAAATTTGATATGGATCTCCTACACCATCTCCTGGAATCCACAGTCCACCAACTAAATCATCTACTCTTAATGAAGGACATATTTCTTGTACTTGCTTTGGTGAAATTAAATGACACTCAATATTACGTGGTCTAAAAAAATTTTAATAAGTGCTATTTAATTAATTTCATTTATATCTTGTTATTGAACTTACATAGACTGTGCTTTCATTCTCCTAAACACAGTCATACGATCCCTTGTGCGTGCTAAAGAAAGGCTGCCACACTGTTTCCATCCTGTTGATAAGCCTTTCTCTTCCAATTCTTTGTATAATCCTATGCTGTCTTGAGCAAGTTTAACTTGTGCTAAACTTGGTTTAAATGCTCCTACTAATCCTGAAGTATGCCACGTTGTTCCACCTCCTAATCTAAAATAAAACACATTGCAAAAACATAAACAAATAAATGAGTCTTCATAAAATATAAAATATTTGGATATATTTGAAAGAATTTACCTGCCACTTTCTACAATAACAGTTTGAGGTCCTAATCCCATAAGTGAAAGATGATAAGCAACAGCACCGCCCATAACTCCACCACCACATATAACAACTTTTGTTTCTTTAGGGAGTGGATCATCCACATCTTCACTTGTTTCTACAGTGGATTTTAAACTACTATGCCTTACTTTTTGACAATTATAAAGAACAATATTATTCCACTTTGTTACATATTTATTGCAAAATAACTTCGAATGAAGCCACATTGTTTTAAGTAGAAATCTAGTATTCTTTACTAGTTTGCTCGTAAAAGCAATATAAACATAGGAATTTATGAATAATCACATTTATATTGAGGTTAGATTGTTATAGAACGCAAACGACGAAATCATTGTACTTTTGTTCCACTTATTTTAAGATATTTTTAAATATTCAAATTAACGTCAAGTTTACAAAATTTAAAATAAACTTGATTTTTAAGATATCTTATGTTCTCATAAACGTAATCATTTTTTTTTTATAAAAACTTAAAAAATTTTAATTAGTTCACAAATTTAAATCATTTCAAAATTT